TATATACACCAATATACACACACACCATACAATTTCTAAATTTTTTTAAAAACTTTCTTACCATTGTGAACATCTTTTCATGATATCTACTGGTCTCATTATCTGTGGGACCCTGGAGAATGAATGTGCTCAGGGGCAAAATCAATGACTAATTGGGATCAGGTGTTAAAATATAACCTCAGTTGTACTGTAACTAAATTGAGTTAATTCATTGCTTAGAGTCTTTGTGCAAAGAATGTCAACTTTCTGAAGACATCAATAAAAACTCTTAGCTCAAGAATTTTGGGAAAAATATAATGAATTCTTTTATACATATTAAGTATTTCTGAATTAATAATGATTTTTTTTCTGTGTTATATAGCCCTTTTTTCCCCTTACTGTTATTTCACTATTAACCAATAGGGAGGTTGAAAACATATTTCTTACTGCAACTATTCAAGGCGAATAATTTATAAATTTCCCAAAAACACTAGGCCTGGAATAGCTATTTCAGTGATTCCACGGAGTCTGAATTCAGTTCGCACAAAATTTATTTTAAAGGAGACACGTTTTTAGATTCAGATTTTAAAAGATTGGATTTAAAAGCCACATCTATTTGCATTTTAACATCTCAGAACACACCTATTTAACAGCTTAGGGCACATATATATTTTATGTGTTAACAGCTTAGAAACTGGTATATCTTACAGTGTCACAATTTAATTGGGGGCACTTCTTCTTTCCTAGAAGAACATATTGATTATGGCTGATAATCAATAACATCATAGTTTGAATGCATATTGGAATTTTGTAAAATTATCTTCAAAGTTATTTTATGAGTCATAGACAAATGTCTGTGATAATTTATTTTAAATAACTATTTCAGTTCCTATTTTTCACCTTTTACAGTAGGCACTCTGATTCATAAAGAGTGTATCTTTCATAAGATGAAATTTTTTAAACTTCATCAATTATACAGGCTTGAAATTAATTTTAAGACAGATAAGTATTGTCATCCATTGTCCATGTATAGGATTCACTAAAAAGCACATCTATAATAGTAAAATCCTTATATAGTTTAATTTAGGGAAAAAAAACTTAAGAAAAATATGGTTAAATCATTGAACTGTTGAAATATTTCTTTATCTCCATTTATATTAACTATGCGATTTAATATGTGAATACTTTTTAAATTTTTTCAATTGATAAACTAGACATTTACACATTAATGTATTTTATTTCATTATCTCAATCTGAAACATATGTAAAATTTTTCTGTCAAGTTGGTCAAATTGCTTGATACTGTTATTCAAATGTTCTGTATCTTTGCCGATTTTCTATCTACTTGCACTATCAACCACTGAGAGAGGAATGTGGAAATTTCCAACTACAATTATGGATTTGTCTATTTCTCCCTGTTGTTATACCAGTGTTTGCTTCACGTATTTTGAAGCTCTATTAAAATATACATAAACAATTAGGATTTTAATGTCTTTTTGATCAAATCATCCATTTACTATTTGAAAATGAACTTCTTTATCCCTGGAAATATTTTTTGTTCTGAAATCTACATTGTCTGATATTAACAAAGGTATGCCAGCTCTCTTTTTATTAATGCTACCTTGATGTATGTTTTTGGTATATGATTTTTGCATCCTTTTACTTTTAACCTGTTTGTGCTCTATATTTGAAATGTATTTCTTTTATGCAACATATAATTTGGTCTCCCTTTTTTCATCTATCTCTGCTTTTTAACTGGAGCATTTAGAACATTTACCTTTGATATGAGTATCAAGTAATTGTGTTTAAATCTATCATCTTGCTATCTATTTCCTGCTTGTCACATCTTTTCTTTGTTTTTCCTATTTTTTGCCCTCTTTTAGATTAACAGAATTTTCAATGATTCCATTATATCTCCTTGTGGATTTATCAGTAATGTTTTGTTTTGTTGTTTTAGTGATTATTTAAAAATTTGTGGTATATGTTTTAAACTTACAAAATCTACCTTTGAATGAACATAGGGCCCCAGAAACTTACCTCCACAAGCACAAGCAATTATAGCTGTAAGTCCATGTACTTAGGAACCATATTTATAATAACATATGATTTGGATATTATCAAAATAAGTCTTTTTATTGATGCACATATTTGGGGGACACGTGATATTTTGATGTATGTATACAATGTGTAATGATCAAATCAAGGTACTTGGGATAGCTATCACCTCAAACTTTTAATCAAAATAAATCTTATTATAAAGAAAGAAATATGCTCCCACTAGGCAAGTGGGAAAATTGTTAGAGTAGAATGACACATGCTATTTACAGAAAAGAATGTGAACCAGAATTCTCACGTGAGACAATTAGTCATACTATTATCTATACAATGTAAAAATTTTTGAAAATGTAAACCATTTTTAGTACAAACATGACAACTGGCTAAACTCAACCAATTTAACTGGAAATTTTAAAATTAAATCTAACCAGTTTGCATATAATATTATAACGAATTAGAAATAATAGAGAAAAGCCTAGATAAATAAGTTTCCTATTTATTACTGAGGGAGACAACTGAC